TTCGACCTTATACTTCCCGCTTCCTGACAGTTGTTTACTCTTTTCCTCATATTTGGGAAATGACTCTTGTAATTTCTGCACGAATTTCTTTAGAAGTTTTAGCAAATGAGAAGTTGTACTGACATTCATTTGGTGGTTTTGTAATGAATGATTTGTCTTGTGAAACCTTTCCAGAATATCACTACATAATTTCTGTTTCTAGTTGTTCCAGTTGTAGCACAATGCTTCTTGACTCTATGTGCATTTGAGGCTTTTCAGAGTCTCATCTGTAATAAAAACGAGAACTTGCATTATGGTTTTGTACACCATTTGTAAGTGTTGCATTGCACCTATATGGGTGCTCCATTTTGTGTCAAATAACCCCTTTATAGTTGGGAACCCAAGTTTATCAAGCATATCGTGTAGGCACTTCTACAGGTAGGTTGAAGATGAGAAAAACACATAAAGTTTCTGCATAAAGGTAAAGAATAAACAAGTTTCGATACATCAGTCCACAGTGTATTGTCCAACCAAATTGAATAAATAAGCACAGCAGGGAACAAAGTTCGCTAGGGAGTTCTTCTCCTTGATCAAGGTTTTCATGCCAACATATTTTCTGCTCATATTGGATGCATTATCATAAGACTGCCCACGACAATCTTGAATTTTATATCATTCGTTTCAAAGGAAATTAATAAGAACTCCAGCAAGTTTTGTTCCTGTGATTGCTTATCAGTAAAAATGTAGCAAATCCCTCTACATAGCCATAATCTAGAATGCATCTAAAGATTATTGTCATTTGGTCAGTGTGGGAAATGTCTGAAGTAAAATCAACAAACATTGAGTAATACTTGAATGTTTGGTTTCCTGGATAATGATGGTGAGAACTTCTTTGTGAAGGATTTCTATGAATTCGTCACAAAAAAGTTGAGGATAAGTATGAAACATGACATTTTCCCTTATTTGTGCATATTTGAATGTGTTCAGCAAAAAAATGTATCATAAACAGCCCATATCTTCAGTATTCCTAAGTATTTACCATTATGCACTGAACCAACTACTTTCGCTCCCTCTGAAGGCTAGCCATCTGGATGATAGAAACTTTATGACTGAGATAATATGCTCTAGAACTTGGTGCCAGTATTGTTTCTCTGACTCTATCTGTTCTGTTTTAAAAAAAGTCTAATCGATTCGTCCGCTTTTGGTTTTACGAATAACAAATTTGGTGACGCAACTCTGATGAAGGAGCTTTTGTTCGTGCAGACTAAGGCCCCTTGCAGCATGTTTCCAGTCAGAGTAATCAGTTGTTGCAAGCGAAAAAAATTCAACTGCTATTGAAAACAATACAATTTACATATAACACAGAAAACGTTCTCCTTTGACAGTGAATAGTAAAATCAGTCTCTCTTAACCTTTTCTCCATTTAATTGCTCTTTGAGCTTTGATGTTTATACTTGTCACCCGGAATCGATTTTGTAGATGCACTGAAATTCGCATCCATGTACTGGCAAGAAGTGATCTCGAACACACAAACAAAATCTCTCATTTCGTTAGAAACTTGTGTCCATGTCCCAATGTCGAATCTTAGTATCTGTCGTAGTATATTATTCGTCATTGCAATAATTGATTTCTTTCTATTGGTAGGAGCTCTATTCAAATTGATGAGGCTAATGATTGTCAGCATCGGTAGTTGTAGTCTCTACATTATTGTTTTCGCAGTCTTGGGTGGCGATTATGTTTTCGGCAATTTCTGATTGAGAGCAAGGGATCAGTTCGATTCGATATGATGAGGTTGACAGTCATCAGCATTCAGAGATTTAGTGTCACATTGTTTTTTCCACTGTCTTGGCTGGGAAAAGTTTTGACACTAGAGAACAAAGCTCATAAGTCCATTAGCTTCCTAGTTTTAGCTACTCCTTTCTCTATTTTTTTCTTTTTCTTTGACTTTAGTTTTTCAACTGCTCTTGTGTTTATACATCTGTATAGTAGATAAGATGAACACTTAATGAACAATGTGTGTGTGTGTATGTGTGCATATAAGCGTACCTGTGTGTGTATGTGCATGAAAGAAGAGAGAGAGTGAAATGTCAGAATGAGCTACTTAATAGTTTCGTAACAAATGATCGAATATAATTTTCAGGACTCAACTCAAAAATTTCAAACTTTGTAATTGGATGACTTATATCCTATACCCTCCAATTAATGATGCTTGTCAAGTCGTCAACGAATTACTTACAGCTGATAAGTGGGCCAGTATTGGCCCACTAGTAATTATAGATTTTTTACTGGATAACAACATACAAATTTTATTCAAGAAACACAAACACGCTGGTAACACGTCATGAGTTTCTAGAAGGATCATGACTGTTCCTGGCAACTCTAGTGTTTGCCAGACGCCCTCTATTTTTGTATATAAACCCGGCAAATAAAGCGGAGATATATTGCAGATAGGGAGATATAGAGACAGATAATCGAGTCAAGTGAGCGGTAGTGACCATAAGTAAAGTGCGTGAATCGTTGTGAATTATAGCGTGTGTTTACGTTAAAGTGAATGTAGAAATTAAGTGTATTGCAAAATTATATTGAGAAAGACTAAACTAGTTTTATTTAAGAAAGGACTTGCATCGCTGAAGTTCTTCGGAAAGAATTTCTACGGGAAATTAACAAACGACCAGAGAAGTAACAAATTGGAGTCAGAAGTGGGATTAAAAGAATGAAAAAGAAAATGGAAACGAGAAGTGGCAAATCAAACTACAGCTTAGCAGATTTGATAGCAGCAATACAAGAACAGTAAAAGAAACAAGAACGAGAAAAGAAACAAGAAGAGAGATTACAGCGGTTGTTGGGGAAAAAGAAAAGAAACAAGAAGAGAGACTACAGCAATGGTTGGAGAAGAAAGAAAATGAACAAGAAAAGAGACTACAGCAGTGGTTGGAGGAGAAAGAAAATTAACAAGAAGAAAGTCTCCAACAGTTGAGAGAAAGCCAGCATACACAAATTTCAAAGTGAATTAAATACATTAAAGGACGATTTACTGTCTTTTACACAAGGAGGATATATTATCCATGGACCTAATCAGCTCCAGACAAAAGGAAGCCCTCCCAGACTCCGCAGCTAAACCCTAACACAGACATCTTCAGTCCTGCCAGAAGTCATATTCCAGACATGAGTGTCAGCAATAAGGGTGATCTAGTATGAAGGAAGCCAAAGGAATTCGATGGGAAGACACCATGGGAAGCATGTAGAGCACAATTTGAGCTCCTGGCAGAAATGAATGGATGGGAGGAGGAGCAGAAAGTGGTGTACCTGGCAACGAGCTTGAAGAGACAACCACTGGAAATACTTGGACAGTTGTCAACAAACAACAGGCACAACTATAGAGCACTGGTAGCTGCTCTAAAAAATCAGATATGGAACTCAAAATCAGCCTGAAGTCTACAGGGCCAGGTTTAGAACGAGAGTGAGTGCTAAAGGGGAGAGCCTGCAAGAGCTGCCACAGGATTTGGAAAGTATGGCACACAAGGCCTACCCAACTGCACTACCCGATCTCCTCAAGCTGTTGCTGAGGGATCAGTTTGTAGATGCCTTGAACAGTTCACAACTGAAGATACAAGTAACGCAAGCACACCCCTCTTGAATTCGAACCCTACGTTAAGTCCAGCACAGAGGTACCAAGGTTGGTACAGTCATCGGGATTCAAGGCCAGAAGAGGGCAGCTTTTGGAGAAGTTTGAGGGACTTTTCTGGCACTGTAACAAACCTGGGCACAAGAGAGCTCAATTCTGGCAACTTCAACACAGGGAAGATGCCACGGCAGGAAAGGCTGCTATCCAGAAACGTTGTTGGAACTGTGGAAATGAAGGACATGTGAGAAGCCGGTGTAAGAAAAATACTACCAGCCTCAGAGAAACCAATAGTGGTTGGTGTTGAGGGATGCTCATCAACTCCCATAATGAAAGTCCCAACAGCTAGGTGTAAAATGCCAAGCATACATAGTGTCTACGTGACAGGAAAGCTGGATGGCCAAAAGTGAACTTTGACATATATTCTGCATCTCAGCAAAGCCTTGTGAGTATCAAGCAACAAGAAAAATTCAGAAGATTCCACTAACCTGACATCAGTATTCACAACAAATGATTCGTAAACAGTTACGTAAACAAACTTGCCATAGCTATCGCTTCTAAAAATACTAAATTTAACTCGCGCTTTATAAATATCTGAATCATAACATTCGTATTCATTTTAAATTTAAATGAAACAATCGTGTATATCTAACAATCACTTCAAAAATAAATTTCTTTGTTCTTAAGCTCAAAGCTATTTAATGGTCTATCTATACTGTACCCAAACTGGGTGTCGAAACCCAAATTTTAGCGTTATAAACCCTTAAACTTACCGCTGAGCTACTGGAAATCTGAAAATTTGGGACGGCTACTGCAGATAGCCCTCGAGTAGCTTTGTGCGAAAATCATCAAAAACATAGAGGTTAAGTGCGCTTTCTATAAATAGACTTTCCAACAAGCCTTGAACAATATTTGTGGTAAGATAGTATAAAACAATATCATCATTTCCCGTTTAAATGAACTAGAAACTTATGGCTACCCCAGTGACACAGCGGCATGTCTGCGGACTTACAACGCTAGAAACAGGGTTTCGATTCCCGTGGTGGGCAGAGCACAGATAACCCATTGTGTAGCTTTGTGTTTAAATTCAGAACAACAGAAACTTGTTACTCATATTTGCATGTTAAGTTGAGGATGACGTTTGTAACTGCAAGCGCAGGTCTTTATCGTAGCAGCCCGAAATTTAGCAGGAAAATGCAATCATAAAGTTCTTCAGTCATAATTTATGTTTTAGTGTCATTTAATTCTTAGTATCGCAAATAAAGTCTGACAGATTTCAATTCATTGATAGGAAAATAATAATAATAAATTAGAAGCAAAAATACGGACTACTTTCTGAATGTCACGAGTTTCGTATTATTCTCGGTCATGTGACAGGAAGTAGTGTTCATCGTCGTATTGGTATTCTGTCAAAGAGCGATGTCATAATTTGTAAAAGCGAGGAAACCGTAAATTCTTCCCTCTATTTTTGTGCGATATGGTGAATTATATATGTTCTTAATTGATCGAAATAAAACTGTTCATTTGTTTGGTGACTAACTATAAATGTATATAACATTTTTCACAAGCCAGAGTTACATTCTGCATAGTACTTGTCGTAAATAATTGATTTGTAAAATAGGAATAAAAATATATTTTGATTAATACTAATAATAGAGTTTTGATCAAGAGTAGAAAAGACAACTCTGGCTTGTTTTTGTTATAGAAGTTATAATTACTACACAGTCAACAGTATTACAAGTTGAGCAGTGAATGTCGTGTTAACACCGACTTTGAAGTTAAAACTGTTTTTCTTTTGAAATTACCGATGTTTCAATCTATTCAACAGATTATTGTGGGTTATAGAATAGAAAACAGAACATTTTAAAGTAAGATGAATACAGAAGAATCTGCTTCGGAATCACTACATTCGAGTACTCAGTTTTCAGGAGGGAACAGTATTTTATCTGTTGGAAGTGGTACAGAAATATGTACGACATCAGCGGTAGGTAAAAATGTTTGGTTGTTAGGCCTAAGGCTCAAAATCAACAATAACAGTAACAAATGTACGAATGTAAATTGTAATCAAGAGTCATGGCTAATATAGGTTGTGGTACGATGTTAGGCCTGTTTACCGTCGTTAGTAAATAAAATTATATTTTTTTTTCTTTTATGTTTGAATGTTTTATTCACTGTATTTCTGACATATAAAAAATTGTGTTATTGGAACCAATTATTGAAAATACATGTACTGTAGTGATGTGCATGTAATGAAAATGCTTTATTTAGTATTGGAATATTATTTATAAATTCAATGGAAAAATTGTTAAATTAACTTAAATTTTAAAACTTGCATTTATGGCAGGAGTACAATAATTTATAACACTGATCAGTGCTAATGATTATATTTTAATTTTATAGTCTATACTTTTACTTAACTGGAGGCCAACCATTATAAATTAGTTAAATAATTTTAAGTTTTATCATACATAATAATTTCGTATCAACTATCATTAAAACATGTCTGCAAAAAAACTTATCATTTTATGCCACCTTTAATGAAATTATGCAAAAAGTAAGATAAAAACAATGACAGTCCACTTGACTCCTCCTTAGTGCAAAATTCAAATTGTCTCCCCTACAATTATACTTGACACCTAGAAATTAGTTCTACTTTCAGTTTGCATGTAGTTTTATATGTTTATTAAATACTTATGACTTCCAGTATCTAGATTACAACTGGAAAATAATATAACATTATTAGAATAACAAAAAAAAATAATAATAATAAAATTCTGCCTAACATTAGTTCTGAGTTGAGGGGTTTCAAAACTCAGGTCTGATTACCACTAATTTAATAAATATTGCATTATTACTTTATAAGTCCAGAAATAAAAAAGACTGACTTCCTGCAAATAATCTTCCTAAAAGCTTAACAATTTTGAATGCCTAAATCACCTCTAAATCTATGTTTCAAAAAAATAATTATTAGTATTAACATGTAACTGGTAAGGTCTTTCATCACCAACTCATAACCTTTATCTGCACTCTTTCCAATAGATCAAGATCCTTTCTATGAGAAAGTCAAAACTGAATTCAGTTCTTAAAGCAAGATGCTGATGTCATTTATTTCCTAAAAGTGTTGATCAACTCCCATAAAAAGGAAAATTACAAATACTTTATTTTGCAAGTGAAGTTAGTCTTATCAATTGTTTATTTGTGAAGTTGAAAAGAAAAAGTGAAAGAACTGTAACAGCTAATATTTTTATTACATATATAATCTACAATATTAATTTTGAATTTACAAGTCTTTATTTATCTGGAAATAAAAGGTTAAAATGTGTGAAATGTTTTATAAAAATACTAGTACCTGAGTTTTTCTAAAAGGTTAATTTTATCACATGATTTTCATTTTATATTAAAACATTTTAACAACCTAAACATGATTGGAAACAGTGTTATGTATAGTTTTAAGCAGTGAAAATAATATAGATAAGACAACATAAAGTAAAATATTCAGTAGTTCTTTTGGTTCTACAGTTTGCAAATGTCAGCGGTCTAACATCTGGTATTCCAACTCGTACGACTCCAACTGTAACTCCTACCACTCTAAAGAATATTGAAACACTCTTTGAGCTACAGTCAATCCCTCCAGCTCCTTTGGAACACCAGCATCAAGCAGGATTTGTTCCCCCGGTGGTTAATGTTCCAACATTATACCAACCAGTCTCCCTGATCAAGCAGGAAGAAGAACCTGAGTGGATGGCCTCTGCTCATAGTCAGTCTACTAGTAATAGCTTATTTTCAGAAGATTCATTAACTATGTCCCCTCCTCCTGTGGTAACCACTACCTCGTCTTCTAAAGCTCGTAGCTCAGGAGGCAGGAGACCAAGAAATGAGAAGGTTAATTTACATGTGAAATTATTTATCTTAATTTGTTGAAGCTTTGTTGACCCTAAACATATATGTATTGAATGGAACTTATATATACTTTTGGTAATTTTAATATCCAGAAATATAGAATTAAAAATAATAAAGAAAATGGTTATATTTTATATTTTAAGAATATTTTTAAAGAGTTAACATGCAATACAAAATATTACAATATTAATAAGTTGTTAGCAACTTAAGATTAATATGTTTTTGCTGGGGAATTAGTAAATTTACATTGTTTTATGTGAATATGGTTTAAGTATGATTCAAAGGCTGTTCTTAGTATCAAGAAATCTGATACATCATCTTTGCATTTTACTATATTCATAAATTTAGGAATGTTCTCATGCATTGCAGTTTGTTTAAATCACTAACAAAAATATAAGTATTTATGTAATGTACACAGAGACTTGTGTTACTAGGATTTATGGTGTAACGATTAGAAAAAAATTAGCTTATCTGTGTGCATTTTACACTAGGTGTCTCCTGAGGAAGAAGAAAGAAGGCGAGTTCGTCGGGAACGAAATAAGCTAGCAGCTGCCAGGTGTCGAAAACGAAGACTAGATCATACAAACAGCTTGATAAAAGTAGGCTTGATCATTGCTAATATACCTTTGCTCCTTAGTAATTTTTGGTAAGATTAAGCAACTGTTTATTTATATAGAAAAAGTGTGCACAGGAATTTAACCAAAAAAGTTTGGTATGGTGTGTGGTTACATAATTCTTCAGGATAATTTAAGTTCTGGATTGCAGTGAAGCAATGTGATTTTGGGAAGTTTTAAAAAACTACTTGGAAAGAACCAGCTTCAGTTTTGTTTGTAGATGGAACTAGGATTTGATGATTGGGCAGACCAAACTGAATGCTCCCATATGTATGACAAACAAGAATACTAGAGGTAGCAGTTTGTGATAATAAAAAAAAATTAAGTCAGTCGGACTTGCATCAAAATATGAGTGACTCTTTCTACTGGCCATAAATTTGCAACTTTCACTCATTGTTTCAAAAACAGCTACCAAATCTCACTAATAATTAAATGTGCAAAATTCATATTAATATTATACAGTGTAAACTTTTAAATTTTATTTTATGATATATGACCTAGTAGCAATGGTGTAACTACAAAATATCTCCCCCCCCAACACATACATGCATAAAAAGTAATTGGGCTCCTTAAATTTATATCCTTATAATTTTAGTTACAATTCTGGCTGATTGATATCATTAACCTAACAGAAAGTACAACCACCCTTTAGTTCAAACAAATTAAATTCTATGTTGGCAGTTCTTAAGTTTGTTAGGCCCTTCAGGATCTTCTACAATTGTGAGGGCTGCAGGGGCACACTTACACCAGTGCCTAGTAGTGAAAAAATATTTGTCAAAATCTTTGACATAACACAAACTATGCATTTTCACTAAAGGTTAATTAAAATACAAACAGTACAAGCATATCATTACATGTTTGATTTTGGAAGTATCTTATTGAAAATACTTTTTTATTTATTGCTTATGGTATCAAGCAGAATTCAAAGGCAACCCCAATTATAAACAAAAGAACATGATATGAATTAGGTTTTGGTTATACAAACAGTTATGCAATTTCATCCCTTTTTGATTTTTGTTAGCAGATTTATGCTAACATTGGAATTTGCTTTTCAATTCATGATACATTGATAATGTTGGAAAGAACTTTTCATGGCATAATAGTGTTGACCAGGTAAGAACATATTATATAATCAGACAGTGATTGATGCTTTAAAGCCAATTAGCCAACCATGATGGTTATTACTGTTATACCTAAAAAGAGAATGCAGAGAAGAAAAACTAAGGATAGCTAAAATATTATAATCCATGCAACTTAAGCAGAAGTTGGCAATGACTGTCAGTTATTACACAGATATGTGAATAAGGAAAATAAAAGTGGCATCTATAGCTGTTAGGATTACAGTTTGCAACAATTTTTGCTACCTTGAAAGATACTGTTATGAATGAAATTAAAGATGTGATCTAATGGGTAAACTTGATCTCCTAGGATGTTTTTGTAGTGACTAACTACTGTCCTGTATTTCAGTATAACACCAAAAACATGCAGCCAATCATTACAACTATACTTGATTCTTATATTTGAAACCAAACGCTAGCAAAAACTTAACAAAAGTACTTAACCTTTAAATGCAACAAGTCCATCTAGGTTGTCCCATCCACTAAATAGCTAATCTTTATCATTCAATAGTTATCAATCCTTTTCTTAGACTTCCTTAAATTTGCTGCATCCACCACATCTGAAGACAACCTATTCCAACTATACATGATTCTTATATTTGAAACCAAACATTAATGAAAACTTAAGTACTTAACCTTTAAATGCAACAAGTCCATCTAGGTTGTCCCATCCACTAAATAGCTAGTCTTTATAATTCAATATTTATCAATCCTTTTCTTAGACTTCCTTAAATTTGCTGCATCCACCACATCTGAAGATAACCTATTCCAAAGGTCTACTACCCTGTTACAAAAATAAAACTGTCTTAGGTGAAGATGACCGACTCATACCGTGCCAAAACTTATATTTATGTCCCCTAGTCCTATCATTCTTACCATTACATATGAAAAAAGATGATGCATCAACACTGTCAATTCCATTAACAATTTTGCACACTTCAATTAGATCCCCTCTAACACTTCTTTTCTCAAGAGAAAACAATTTCAGAGATTTTAACCTTTCCATCCCAGATACCATCCAAGTAACACTTCTCTGAACCTTTCCAAACATTCAATGAACTTTCTAAGGTAAGAAGCCTAAGAATGAACACAGTACTCCAAATGTGACACAAAGAGTGACCTATACAATGAAAGTGTAATCTCTTTAAATTTTTATTTAATATTTCTGTAAATACAACCTAAAATCCTAATTACCCTACAACTAGTAACAGTACACTGCTTGGATGGCTAAAGTTAAAGAGTCTGATCAACCACTACACCAAGATCCTTTTCTTTAATAGCATTCTTTAGATTATTTCCATCAAAATTATGCTTATAATTCAAATTATGATAACCCACATACATTACCTTGTAATTATTATAATTAAAATCTATCTGTCATTTATTTGCCCAACTCCTAAATGATCTAATTTCTTTTGTAAAGCAACAGCATCCTCCTCACAGCTAGCAACACTCAAGACCATGATATCATCCTAACAGTGAGCCCTTAGGTCACTTTGACATCAATGCAATTTGAATGAACCCCGTTTATAACAATCACTTTTTTATCTAAGGAGCCACCTTATCCCACACAACTTAGACATAATTTTTTTGTAATAAGCGTTTTATGTGTTACATTGTCAAATGTTTTCTGAAACATTCAAATACACTAAATCCACACTCTTACCCTCATCTTTCTATAAATATGATCCATCATGTGTATGTGTGTTAGATCCATTACCAGAGTTGGCTGGCTTGATTTAAGTAATTTTTTATATAGTGACTGGAAACTCTGACAGTGTACATGGGATATTTTTATGATTTTTGCCTAAGAACAGGAATAAAAAAAACACCCTGGAATACGGCACAGGTCCACTTTTTTATAGACTTTTGACTTTGAATTTATAGACAACAAAAGACAGAAAGAAGGGGAACATTATCTGCCATTGTTCTTTATCAAATTTTTGCTTCTTAACCCTTTATCTGCCAT